TCATGCCAACAAGACAACACACAACATCGGGTTCTCAGTCATTCAATCCATAATCAATGAAACAGTGATACATGCACACGAAACTATGAAATAAAAACATCAGACATCATACTGCATTTAAAACTGTAAAATAGAACAAACGACAACTGACCGACAAATACACTAGACTCGGGCTCCATTAACAACCTTAAACAATTTCACACAGCTATTGATTCATGAAATACCATTTTATCATTTATTACACTTTAATACCGTGATAGGAAATAGAGTAAGGAATCCTTACTTGTTTTCGGGACCCGAAATAGGCTTTTCCGAGCGCCTGCGGGTTATCCCTAAATTTCCTGAATTTTTTTTCGAAAAACTGAAACACGCTACCGGTACCTGCACGTGTCCCAAAAATCTCAGAATCAGACCTAGGGCCCCTTTCGGCCAATATCGCAATTCCGGCACGGCGGCTCCGCCGTGCTCTGGCGACGCCGCCGCCGCCGCAAGCGGCGGCGATTCACCTCAAGTTGGCCGTTTTCGGCCACACTTACATCGGTCCCTGCGATAAAACAATTCTAGGGCCCTCGGGGGGCCAAAAAATTACGAAAAAACGAAGCTTACCGGCGGCGGTGCTCTCGGGTGCAGCGGCTCTCCGGCGTGGTTCGTGTTTTGGTGATTTGGCTCCGATCAACCTGTAGAGAAAAGAATGGTGATCACGGTGATATAAAAATTGTATCAAACGGAGGCCGGGAAGGGACTCTTTGGAGGCAAAAATCGAGGAGGGGCGCGGCGGCGCCGCTGGGTTTCGGTCGTGTTTTCGGACAGTTTGGCCGGGAGTTTGGCTCCAATTTGGCCACAGGGGAACTCAGCGTTGAAAAACGAGCTGGGGGTATGAAATTTACCCCGATCGGCGGTCTGAAAACTCCCCGGTGCGGCAGCGGCCGGTTCCTCCGGCGTCTTGTTCGTCTTCTCCGGCGAGGGCTGGCGGATAGGGTTTTTGTGGTCAGGTGTGGGGGGTTTATTTATACCCTTTGCCTTTTAATCACAGTCGTTCATCTTGATTTAATCTGGGCCGTTCGATCGCGATTTAATTTGGATTAAATCTGGGCTGTCCATCGCGATTAAATCTGGGCCGTCCGTACTTGATTGAATCTGGGCCGTTCGTGCGCGTGCATCTGGGCCATCCGTGCACGTGCATCTGGGCCGTCCGTGCGCACGCTTGATCTAGGCCGTCCGTGCGCGTGGGGACGCATCTGGGCCGTCCGATTACGTCCGATCACGCGCACGCGGATCGCCCACGTGGCCCGTTCCCGGGTCGGCGTGGCCTTGCCACGCGACAGGGCCTGGTTGGCCAGGGCTGCTGACTGGGCCACTGACGTGGCTTCTGACGTGGCGTTGACGGGGCACAATTTTTCTAAATTACGTTTTGACCCTTGGTTTCCGAATTTCTTTTCAAAAATACCCTCAGAATCCAAATTTTCACCCCTTTTTTTCAAAATCAATTTCAATTAAATCCAAATAATATTTTTACCCAATTTTATCATTATTAATATTTTTATATTCACAAAAATTAATTTAAATTAAATTACATCAAAAATAAAATAAAATAGAAAAAATTATTTTGAAGAATAAACTAACTGAAGGAAATACTATGAATAAATACTATAAGAAAAACTAATAAATTCTTAGGTTTCTACTCGCCGTCTTCCTGCAGAACGGACTCGGGAACCAAGTCCTCCTGATATGAAATAGTTAAGTAAAGAATGACCTACACTAGCCCAGTAAAGGCATTACACTATCTCACTGTCATAGAAATAAAGGTTGGTAGAAAACAAAAACGACCAATGGAGCATAATTTATAACAGACTCATTTATCAATGATAAAAACATTTACTATCCACTTACCTCAGTGAGATTCATGAAAACAACTTATGAGAAACAATAATATCATAAACATCATAAGATCATGCACACTCTGTAACATAACACATATCATGCTTTTGTATTTCAATCATCAGATAACAAATTTTCTCTTTTATCAGCCTACTAGTATTCATGGGGATCCATAGGGGTCCCCGCTACACGTGAACCATTCTCATTAATAACTTAATTCCAGGGTCGTTCCCATACCCCGTCCGGTATGGGCGCCAAAACCATAAATCTCAAAACCCCGTCCGGTATGAGGGTAAAACGGGCCGTCCCCATACCCCATCCAATATGGACGCCAAAACACATAAAGTCTTCATACCCCGTCCGATATGAGAGACCACGTTCTCGTTAGGGTTCTCTATGGACCCAGTCCGTCCACCATTTCTCAGGATATCTAGTCAGGCTGTCGACATTATCCATTTATCAATTCACATACCTTTTTTTATTTTTTTCTTAATCTCAATTATCCAATCAAACATAAATACGTAAACCAGTAATGGACACCAAATAAGGCAACACAACATCGGGTTCATAATAATTCAAATCATAATAAATGAAACCGTGATTCATGCATACGAAACCATATAATAAACACATCAGGCACCATACTGCATTCAAATAAATCAAACAACACCTGACCGAAAAATACATCAGATTCGGGCTCCATTAGCAGTCTTAATAAATTATACACATCTATTAATTCATAAAATACCGTTTTATCATTTATTAAGCTTTAATACCGTGATAGAAAATAGGGTGAGAGATCCTTACTTGTTTCGGAGTCTGAAATGGGGTTCTCACTGCACCTACGGGCAGTCCTTAAATTTTCTGAATTTTTTTTCGGAAACTGAAACACACTTCCAGTACCTGCACATGTCCCCAAAAAACTCCAAATCAGATCTAGGGCCCTTTCAGCCAATTTCGGAATTCTGGCATGGCAGCTCCGCCGTGCTCCGACGACGGCGCC